TAGTAGTACTAGTAGTAGTAGTGGCAGGAGTAGTAGTAGTAGTAGTAGTAGTAGTAGTAGTAGTTAGTAGTAGTAGCAGGAGTAGTAGTAGTAGTAGTAGCAGGAGGAGTAGTAGTAGTAGTAGTAGTAGCAGCAGCAGTCGCAGTTCTAGTAGTAGCAGTACCAGTCGTAGGTGTTGTTGTAATGGGACCCGTCAGTCGTAGTAGTCTGCAGCCACAGGACCATATCGGTAAACCCTAAACCCTAAACCCTAAACGATTGTTGGTTAGTAGGTCGTAACTCGCTCTTTGTAGTATGCAATGCAGCTAGTTCTCTAGATTCGCCTTTTTAAGTCCGAAACATAGCACGGCACCCTTACAAAAAGAGGACCCTGGAAGGGCCCCTAATGTAGCGAATTACCCACATAGAACCCTTAGATTACCCTTCCAGAAACCCAAACGAAAAAAAAAACACACACACACACACACAAAAAAAAAAACAAAAACATCACAGATCCCTTTTCAGGGGCCCTAAGCGGGACCTGATGGGTTTTAGGGTTTAGGGTTATGGGTTTAGGGTGCGCCCTGAAAGCAGGTCGGAGCTGCTGCACTGCCCAGTGGGCGGCCAATCGCCGGGGCCTGCCGACATCCGTTTACTTATAGGGCCCCCTTTTAGGGGTCGTGAAAGGCACCTAGAAGGGTGTGAGGTTAGGGCTTGGGGTCTGGGGTTCAGGGTTCAGGGTTCGGGATTTGGTGATGTGTGTTGTAGCAAGTTGATGAGTTTAGGGCCGGCAAACCGTATTGAAACATGATCACTGAAACCCTGCCCAAGCCTCTCAAAACCTACGAAAACTTCGACAAACCGCAACGAAAACTCGTACATACAAACGGCTGCATCCTCAGCCCAGCCAAGCACTTGACGCGGAAAAGCAACGAAAAGGAAACGCCGGAAGAGAGAGAGAGAGAAAGAGAGAGGGAGAGCAGGACCAAAACCAAACTCAAAGTGCATTCCATAAAGCCGCATAAGGCTTGTGGTCATTCAGAAGCACTACGATATGTGATATGCGCTAGAATACGGCTTGGGGGTTTCGGGGTTTCGGTGTTTACGGCATAGGATAAGCATTTAGGGAATTGCCTGCTGGTTTTGGCAGGGTTCCTGTGAGCCATGTCGAAGCCTACCATCCCAAAAACAAGCTCGTCCACAAAACCCCCCGCTAGAGAGCTCGCCTGATTAAAGACATAAAAGAGCTTGGAGCCGTGTGTGCAGTAATAGAAGAACCCTCTGGACGCCCAAAACCCCAAACCCGTAGACCCGCCAAGGCCTCCGCTTGCGAGACTAAGCTATCCGAGCCGACGCCGACCTTGGAAACGATTAATATATGGTCCTACATTATTAGTTTTTTTAGGGTTTAGGGTTTAGGGTTTAGGTTTAGGGTTTAGGGTTCAGGGCCAGGCTTTAGGGTTTAGGGCCAGGGTTTAGGGTTTAGGGTTTAGGGGGGGGGGGCCTTAAAGTTGCTTATCATAATTATAGTATTCATATATCCCTATTCTAATTCTTAAGGCACCTATATTAAACTTTTACGGGACTGATGTGGCTATGATAAGAAAGTTTTTGGGTTGAGGGCTTTGGGGACTAGTACCAGGGCTTCAAGGTTACGGTTTGAAATTGTTCAGGTGCCGTGCAGAGTGGTTGCGAAGCCCAGTTTCTTGCAGCCACAATCACAACAGGGAAGCCGTAAACCCTAAACCAACACCACTACAACACTACCCCCTTTAGAGAAAAGAAGCAGCACAACTATAGCCCTGCTACTATGCCGGGAACCTTAAGCCGAATGCCCTAGGCTCTCAACACTAAGCTAAACAGTAAACCCTAAACCCTCAACAGTAAACCCTAAACCCTAAACAGTAAACCCTAAACCCTAAACAGCAAGGTTATGTGAACCTTTGTGGTAGCCGGTCCCTTTTAGGGTCCCTTTTAGTGTCCCTTTTAGGGTCCTTTTTAGGGTCTCTTTTAGGGTCCCTTTTA